TCAATGCTTAGTCGCAGCAAGGCTGTGAAGTGGACCTGGACCGCCTTGTTCAATATTATTTTGGAGAACAACGTTACAAAAAACTTTGAGTCCACTTCAAGATAGATGCCCCGAAAGGCGCACGTAAATTTCGAATTTGATCAAACTTAATCTTCATCCCCTTCCCGAGATCCTGTTCATATGCTTATGCGTCACGGACTATGATATTTTAGTTTACACAACACATTGTTTCCACACGTAAAAGTCTTTACGTCGTTGCCAGATCATTGCATCCTTTTCGCGCTCGTAGCCAGCCACCACGCCACTATACTCGAAACGCTTCAAGCCCAGCATAGCAAAAAGGGCAGGCAAGTCCTCCCTGAAGTACTCCGGCACGAGGGCCGTCGTGACTGTGCCCGCCCAGCTGAAAGAGTCTCCTCTGGCGGCAATCTCCGCATTCACCGCCATTCGATACGCATTATGATCTGGTGAATAAAAATGTGGCGAGCCCACATTCCCTGTACATCTCAACACGCCCGCCGGCGCAGGGATCCCATATGCGCACGCGAAGCCCATGTCGGTGGCTATCCAGAAGACGCCGCTTCCATCTAGTCGGCGTGAAGATAGGAAGTTCTCGGGTTTGATGTCTCGGTGAAAAAATTTTAAGTCCTTCAGCACGCGATTGCTTTCCCAAGTCCACCAGGCAGCGTTCGGCGGCCCTTCCACATTCGTGGCACCTCCTGACGCAGTCAGGGCGTGCCCCCCTCCTGAAGCCGCAGCAGGGGGAACCCCCTGACGCAAATCACCCAGGAGGCTGTGCGCATCTACGACACCCATGGCATCCGCGCAAAGCGCACTATGCGTCATCTGATCGAGCTCTCGCCGCAGTTTTGTGCAGAACGGGGTCGCGACGTTGTAAGCCATCTTCTGGTATGCAAGGTTTTGACGCGTTTCGCCGTTTGTCCTCCACGCGTTCACGAAATGCTTCGCGGCCACGCACTCGCTGGCGATCCTAAAATCGATTGACTTTGGAGCTCGATCAGATTTAGAAAACGCAAATACTTTGCCCGCCGACCAGCAATTCAGATTAGCCTACTAGACGGACGTCGCGGCGAGCAAGCATAAGCTCACAAACGACGCGTTCTGAATGTGAGTAGTGCGCGACGCCCGTCGCGAGCCGAGTGCGAATTGTGGGCATGGATGCTTAAGCAAGGAGTGGGTGGGTGGGAAAAAAATTGCTTGTAGCTTGTGGAGTGGAAGCTTGTGGAATGGAGAACGTGGCTTCGCCCGTGTGTAAGATGCGCGGCCCCCGTTGCATGTGGTAAGGTGTTCGCATATGGCCTCACTCGCTCAAACTTGCTTAAACGAAAAGCTACGCTTTCCGCGAAAGCCATGATTGAAGCTCGAACAGATTTAGAGGACATAAATACTTTGCCCGCCGGCCAGCAATTCAGACTAGCCTACTCGACAGACGTCGCGGCGAGCAAGCATAAGCTCGCAAAGGATGCGTTCTGAATGTGAGTAGTGCAGTGTAGCAATGTATCTCAACGCTTCGCGGTATCGGTGAACAACGGGACGCAAATGTTGACGAAAGCACAATCCCCAGCGAACTCGTCGAGGAGACGAGCGCAATCCGCGGCGCTTCCACCCGACTCGACATCCCTGCGCCACAATCGACAGAGACAGCTATTGATGAAATGCTGATAGCTCGAAGGTGTTGCGGAATAGCGTGAAACGCAGCCCCAATGGCTGAGCGCCTCACTCTGGACGAGTCAGACTGTGCGCCTTGCGTAGGTGGGCCGTGTTGTGATGATGAAACTACTGCGATGGTTCTGCCCTTCTGTTGGAACGAGCCAGCCGGTTTCTCCGATGCAGGCCTGTCTTCTGGCGATGCGCATGGGTGTGCACGAATTGCCCGACCTGTGACGCCCTTGATTTTGCCGGGAGCAGCCGAAGCTTTAACGATGGCGACGCCGTGTGGAGCGTCAGCAAGTTCCCCCACCACCGTGGCGTTCGCCAGGCCACATACTACTCTAATCCCTGTGCTCTTGAGCAGTCTCCCCATCTGAGGCAATAGAAGACGCGGCGGGTCAAAAGGCGTCGGCCATTCATTGCGAGGCACCGAGGCGAACACAAAAAAGGAGCACTCTGCGGGAATAGCGCTCCCTCCGTCAGATGTTTTGAAGATGTGAGCGCTTTGCTTCCGTGTCGCTACTTCGTGGAACTCGGTGCACAATTCGAGCAGCCCTGCTGAGAACGATGGAGCCAAGATTGCAAGTCTCAGCCTATTTCTGTGCGGGATGTTAGTGACGAACTTGGCCAAAAGCTTTAAGACTGTGGACGCGATCCCGAATGGCGGGAACCGCCAGAACTTCTCGTAGCGCCAGACCTCCTGACTTTGAAAGAGACTGCTTGCGGTTGAGAAATAGCGCCAGCCTGAGACCTGCAGGGGATTTGGATGCTGGTGCACAACATGCAGCAGCTGTAACGCCAGGCAAAAGGCCGCAAACGTGTCCCCACGATCTACGAAGCAACACCCGATCCGGATGTGGGTCTATTAAGCCGTTCGACGTCGTCGCCGAATCGACTTAGCGCGTCAGCCACTGGATTGCCGGCCCCAAAAATCTTCCCCGCGGTGATCTCGCAGCTGTTTGCCAGGACGAAGCTCCCGACTAAGAAGGAGGCCTGAGCGAGCAGTGGCGAGCCGTATGCCCCCTTATCACGGACTCGCTTCGCCGTTGGATTGTCTGCGTAATATAATAGGCAACTACGCTGCCGGCAGCGACACCTCCTGCACGTTTGTACCCCTCTAGCAATAATATCCACCGGCGCGGCCGCTTCTTTCCCGTTTGTTGGTCCCCTACTCCAAGTCCTACCGAATGCACCACAGAACAACACACCGCCAACAGAGCCGCCCCAGCCTGTGCCGCTGCTGGTTGCTGCGTCCCCGTGTACTACAAGGATGAGGCCCAAGCCAATGGAATTGATGAAGGCGCCGCCCCAAGCTAGTACCCCTTCCCTCCATCAGGAGCGCCTGCTGCCATTGTAGAACATCGGCGACGTACGATTGTTCTGGCGCTGCCTTATCCACCAGCTGACCTCTGTCAACGTCTCCGGTGACAAGGAGGCGCTGGGGCTGGGTCGCTTGCCCGTTTGCCACCTTTTAACTTAAGAGCATCAGAAGCAAAGACGTCCTGCTGTATGAGGTGTGTTGGTCCTCGATTCATTACTAGTCAGCGAACAACTTCTGCAGCAACTGTTGCGCTTGCCCTCCCCTGACGCTAAGGATTTTGCTCTACATCGTTTGCCGTTGATTTTGTAGTAGTCATCGATGAGCCCCGTGGGATGTTTTGCGTAGTTCAGCCTCCTGCTTTCATCCGGATCCACCGAAGCGCCCCAGCTGACTACTTGCCAGCCGTTATTCGGCTAATAGCGGGGCTATTTGGTGGGGCTTCGCTCCACCTGCTCTAACCAGAGACAACACTGAAGGCAGACACACGGCAACCACCGTCGCCCCCTGATGAACACGCGAAGGGCTATCAAGCCGCAACCATTTACGAATAGACTCGAAGGGGCGACGGACATGCCTGGAACAGCCACCACAACGCCCGCGAGAGCGTTCAGAGGTCCTCGAGCCGAGACTGCTCAGCAAACCACCCACGCAAAGCACCGAACCTCACAAAAGCCGAGACCCAACACAACGCCGCCACCGGATGCCCAGATGTGAGATATCCGGCTATTTGCCAGGTCAAACCGTCAGACGAGCGACCGCCCGACCACCATCCACGAGGCCTGCGGATGGTCTTTCTATTTCATTGCGAAAAAAATCTACTCCAGTTCCAAAGTCTATTTGGGAGGCTATTTGGCCAGCGGCCACAGCCGAATTTTACAACTCAGCCGATTTTGTTTAATATAGCCCAAGAAACCAAATAGACCCCAAATAGACTTTTCAGTAGACTTTTAAGTAGACTTTTCCCAAGTCCAAAACGGGACTGGAAAACCGAAAAAGCGACAACAAATAATCTCCCAAATAAGACCAAAATAGACCCCGAAAAAGCAGCCCTTCACCCCCAAACAGACCACAACCCCCAACCCAAATAGAACCACCCGACGAACGACGAGAGACTGAACGCCCCGCCCGAAGCCTCAACAAGCAACCACAGCCTGCCCTTTCCCTAAGCAGCAAAACCCCACGAATACGTCCCCACACACGCTGCCAAGACTGAGGGCAGACGGGGGCGGGCTCCTCGAGGCGCGCCCCAAAAGACAAACCCACCAACAAACTAGAGGGAGCCGGTAACCTCGCAAGAATAAAGCAGAGACTCTGCGCCGACACGGCGGGCAAACGACTCCCCCAAAATCCCTCCCCGTGCAGAATAGCCCCGCAAATAGCCGAAAAACAGAGGCAGAACAAGCCTGCCTCCGGCTTCAAGCCATCCGGATGACTGCTTTCCCCTATTCCGCACCTCATCTCCACAGTGTCCGCTTCGAACCCTAGCCAGGCGGGCTCTTGCGCTGCTTCACCTTTATTAACTAGTTTGCCGCGCTTATCATGCAAGCAGCAGCCAACCCAATATCGGCCAGGGTGGGCGTCTGCTTGTCTACGTCTGCGCTGGGCGCTTCTTCAGACAAACAAGCTGGCCCAGGTAGCACCGGCCTGACGTCATCAACATAGTCGAGCGCCACCTACTCCACGCTGCTA